TTTTATTACTAAAAAGGATGGGGTCTAGAATAATTTGCCTGAACCCCGGGGGTTCATAAATTTCACCCTGAACCAGGAGTCCAAAATAAGGACGCTCTAATTTTAAACCCTAACCCCTATTTTGACATAAATAGATAATAATATATATTACAGGGGTTGGGTTTATATTTAGTACTGTTTAGTTTTTTAATATAAAAATACTTGTACTGTACGGTTTTTTAATATAAAAAAGTTCATACAGTACAATTAGATTTTTATAATATATATATTATTGTACGAATTTTGTGTAAAAATTTATATAAAATCATACAGTACAAAATAGCGTTTCGTACCATACAGTTTATCGTCATACCTGCCGTCGCTGAAAATTTCTATTTTATCATGTGATTTTGACGATGTATATCCGTTACAAATTAATTTTCTGTGATTTGCCAAAACGGGAGGTCGTTTAAAGCCAGGTGTATCACGAGATTTTCTGTTGACTATGGCCAATCAAAATCGTGAATTTTTATTTATACAGATTATCCCGACGAAGCAAAAAAAAGTGATAACACAAAAAATACAAGAAACGGATGTCTAAATATATCTTGGTGCATTAATAAAAAGTGTCGAGGAGGAGATTTTACATATAATATTTACTTAAATTCCAATCTATACTAATCCTAACTCTAGTATTAATTAATTTTAGGTAATCTCATAATGTACCTGTTTCCCAAACCCAAACGGGAAGGACTATATAGTTACAAAAAAGTATATTTTTATTGACACCCATTTGAAACTAACAATTAACAAAGAAAATGATATTATATAAATTTTAATAGATCTTTATCATTGCGTGTGAAATATACAGTTTAAGAATAAGAGTATAAAGACCATAAATAATTGTACGATCATCAAACTTATTTTTTTTTACTCTACATAATGTCGCAAACTGAAAGAAAAGAAATATGTTACTTAAGGTGTACAATAAACTCTGGAAGATTAGAATTTACTTGGTCAATAATTACACCATCTATATGGGACTGGATTGGATTATATGAAGACCATAGAAAATCAAATAGAGAATGGCTCAATGGGCATTGGTTCTATATAAGTAATCACAGCAACCGTACAACTCTTCCTGACGGTCGATACGTGTATTCTGGTAGTCATAGGATTGGAACTGTTTCTGGGATGAATCAGATCAGATTAAACAACTATGAAATTAACGGAAAATACAAAACTTATTCATATGCCAATGTATACAATCCTGTATTTATATACTTTGATATAAATCGAGTTAATTATACACATAGAGGATTGCAACATACATTTGATAATCACAAAGAAAATTGGGGATTTACTAAAAATGACCATTGGAATAATCAAAATGGAAAGAAACTTCAGAGAACCCTTCAAGAGTTTATTCACAGAAACGTAAACAATGTTTACAATGGAAAATATAGGAATATAGATACGTACTTTGTAGTTGACTCTGTATCTTATAACTGTATTATAATTTACCGGGGGGGATAAAGATTATCAATTATGGTCTAGATGGAAACTAAGTGATGCTCAATACAAATATGTAACACAGCCACCATTCAGATTAAATGCAGTTGTACTTACAGTGTATGAGGACATTCTTAACGAAATTGCCAACTCGGAAGTTGAAAGGGATGATTTAATTAAACAATTTTTAAAAATTTACAAGAATGATAAGAATATTTATAGCGATGAAGTATATAATGAAATTGCGGACTTTTTTGAATTGGCTGAAAACTACATTCCATTGTCATTTGAAGGAAGAGATGAAATAGAACCAGATGACAATTATGAACTTGACTACGTAAAAGTAAAGAGAAAGGTAGAAACTACTCTGAAGACACTTGAAAAATTAGCAATTTGAAAAAGATAAATTGATCATTAAACGAATTGATTTATATTTATGTATTACACCTTATATTGGGCTAGTTTGTGTATAAAGAGATTCTTTCAATTTCTTATATTCTAGTAATGAACTCCTGAAATTAATATAGTTAAATTTTGAATAATCTTTTACTGTAGCAATCTTTCAGAATTAACATTACATATTATATCAAACTTTAAAAGTTTTCTATCACATTTTTTATGATGCATCATAGCGTTGTACCAACTAATCTAATATGTCAAAATGTTAAATACTAATATGTCTATATCCAATAGAAGTTCAAATCAAATGTCTACTAGACAATACATAATAAAGATATTTTTCTATTTTATATAATACATGGAGTGTACTTTCTCTAAAAGATATATAATAAAATGTATACTAAACTTGGATATGATCAGACATGTGATGCAAAGCGAAATACCCTGCTTCGTAATTGCTCTCAAGCTAAAAATAATTGTACTCACGAAATTAGCAATCTTTTTTCCATTGTTATCCATGTAAACCTTCTACAATTTACAAAGACAACGGGATAAAATAATACTAAAACTAATAAATAAAACTAAGTATAACTAT